TGTAACTTAAACCACTGCCGAGCAGTTTATGTTCATGGAGCAATGAAGTGCATATGCTTATATATATTTACAGTTCCAGCCCTTATGAACATATATGAATTGAAGTTGAGACATATCCAAGCTCAAAAATTGCTAAGTTGCATATGCAAAGAAATATCTACCCTGGGAGAGTATGAATTTGAAAAGAGTAGTGTAAAGCAAGCAGTATTCAAAGCTGTCAAACATGGCATTGTTGAGTTGATTGTAGAGATGATGAAAAATTACCCTGACATAATATGGTGTTGTGATGAGCAAAACCGTGGTATATTTTTGTATGCAACACTCCAACGCCAAGAAAAGATTTTTAGCCTTATATATAAATTGGGTGCAAAGAAGAACTCAATGGCAACGGCTTGGGACAATAATCACAATAACATGTTGCACCAAGCTGCATTTTTGGCCCCATCCTCTCAGCTCGATTGCGTTTCAGGTGCAGCTCTGCAGATGCAAAGAGAATTACAATGGTTTAAGGTACAAAATCTTTTATTTCTACAGAGGCAAATTTACTTGCTGTGACCTTAATTCACTTGGTTGAAATTGCAGGAGGTGGAAAGTATTGTGCAGCCTAAATACAAGGAGATGACAAATAGAAGCCGAAAAACCCCTCAGGCTCTGTTCACTGAGACACACAAGAAATTGGTGGAGCATGGGGAGAAATGGATGAAGGAAACAGCAGAATCTTTCACAGTTGTTGCTGCTCTCATCGCTACCATTATGTTTTCAGCAGCCTTTACTGCGCCTGGTGGTTATGATAACTATGGAAATCCTATATATCTACATCATAATTCTTTTATAGTTTTCATAGTATCGGATGCATTATCATTATTCGCTTCCTGCACTTCACTACTGATGTTCTTAGGAATCCTGACTTCACGATACAGCGAAGAAGATTTCCTCAAGTCCTTGCCTACAAAATTGATCATAGGCCTCTCTACTCTTTTCTTCTCTATAGCAACCATGATGGTATCTTTTGGTGTCACCGTTGTTATTCTTCTTCAGAGACGAATAATTTGGGTTTCGTTTCCGATTATTGTTCTTGGCAGTCTTCCAGTAAGTCTCTTTGCTGTCCTGCAATTTCCTCTCCTTGTTGAGATTTTCTATTCCACTTATGGACCTGGCATCTTTGAGAAGCCAAAAAAATGCCCCTTCTTCAGTTCCTAGTTGTCTTTTGTTAGGCTATGTTTGGAACAAGTCAATAAGTTTTATGAAATTTATTTGTAAAGTTACATTTCGTTTAACTAGAAAATAATCATAAATTGTTTACTTATGACATTTACTTTTGATTCTCTTTAGAATTTTTCGAAAAGAAGCCTAAACAAAAATCATTCTTTTAAGAAATTCAAGACAAAATCTATTTAATTTATTTAGAAAATAGTAGAAATCATCTGAACTTGAAATAAATATTTTTTTAAAAAATAATGTTTATGTATTTTAAAAAAATAGTGTTTATATCTCCATATTGTAAACCTATTTATAATAGATTTTTAAGGAAACGTTTGTGGAATATGTTAAATTATTTATTAATGAATGTTTAATTCTTGAAACTCATTTTAAACTATTAATATTAAATAAAAACTATAGCAATG